TCTGGCTTCCAAGCCTACAAAGAAATGGTCCTGTGGAAGGTCATTTGTGGCTTTGGTTAAATCAGGCTCTGCTAGGGGCCAAAGGGGGACAGCTCCGAGATGCCAGCCCCACAGCCTTTACTCAATGCACTTACCTGCTCAAGTGTTTTTTGTTATGTTTAAAATCAAAGCAGTTGTTCCTTCGAAGCCTTACATTCTGTGTCCCTTCGGGGACAGAAACCCTTTTTCAGTTCTGAGATGCGTGTTGGTTCACAGCTCAATCCTTGTTGGTCCCTTTGAAATCTGACTGCACCCAGTACTTGTTACCGAGCACGGGAGGACGGTGCAGAGTGAAGGGTGTCCATGCATCTTAGTCTGTTCTCCACTTCCGCACTCCACTCCAGGGACTCGAATGGCCACCATCCCTCAGAAGTCAGAGCTGCACCAGTCTTGTCTCCCAGACAAGTCTTGTCTCCCAGACAAGACTGCAGTGGTGGCAGGTGCATCCGTGATGTAGCAACCCCTAGCACACATACCTCAGGAGATGGCTTTTCATAGCCCCCACCCCACCCCCTAGAGCAGGGCCAGCTGAGTGTCAAAAGGGAGGCAGTGAATCCCATGACGTGAACTTTGAACCCTGTCCCTGGTAACCACAGGGCTAAGCACTGGGCGTTCAGGGGAATCAGAAGATTTGGCCTGCCTGATATGGTACTCGCTGTGCACTGAGTGTCTAGCTTTTTGTCCCCACGCTGACAGCGGTGCTGCAGAAACCCCTTCCTGAAGCCCCAGCCTGATCCACACTCAGGCACCCAATGGTTACTCCAATGTAAAGCCACCCAGGAGCTGTCACCTGATGTCCGTCCATATGAGACCAGCTCTAACCATGTGGGCTAGAGCAGCGGTCCCCAACCTTTGTGGCACCAGGGACCGGTGCTCCTATGAGCGTCTAACACCCGATGAACTGAGGTGGAGCTGAGGCGGTGATCTAGCACTGGAGAGCGGCTGCAAATAGAGATGACGTTTCCTCACTTGCCAGCTGCTCACCTCCTTCTGTGTGGCCTGGTTCCTAACAGGCCATGGACTAGGGACCTCTGGGTTTGAAGATGGTTCTGTAGCTGAAGCAGAACTATATTAATTAGCTCACACCTTGAAAAATGCCCCCTCCACACATGCCCCCAGCATAGGACAGACCTGTTATGATCCCCATGGTATTGTTTTTTTTTTTTTTTCCCTATAGGAAATGATGTTACCAGTAAATGCTGGGTTTTGAAAAATTACTTGTAAGGGTTTTGATGAAAATTACAGGAACATCACATTTTCCATGCCTTGTACGTTTGATGAGTGGCTTTGGCCAGAAAACATTGCAAGTCATCCTGGCTCAGAGCAGTGTTGCAGGGTTGGAGCTGGCCTCATGTAGATGGACATGAGGTGACAGTTCCTGGGTGGCTTTACGTTAAAAGCGGTTTATATTTCGTTGTGCCCTTCAAGTATCAGTAGTGCCACATTCATGGGGTAAAATGCTTTCTTAAATTTGGAAACTACACTTCCTATGGGTAAAAATACAACTCAGAAGAATTTCCCTGTTGAAGTTTCTGTGTCCATGTAAAATTGCCTTAGAGTTAGAAATGAATCTTCCCACGTAGTAATGAGAGTTTTTTTTCTCAAATAAAGACCCATTTCATTGATCGGATATCAGCGTTCATGGTTGCTGGGCACCTTGCAGATAGCAGAGTGAAATATTTGTGCTCGGTACTCGTCTTTACAGATGAGGCAAGGAAGTGTAGGTTTACTTTTTTGGAAAGTGGACAGTAGTCAGGGTTGGGGTGTGAGGGTGAGCGGTGTGGTTTTGAGCAGTCCTGGCCCCTGGACCCCTTCGTCATCATGTCCCTGATAGTGGGACCAGGAGTAAGCAGATTGAGTCCTGGCTCTGACCAACCCCACCCTGGGCTGACAGGCCAACTCCTGAGGGTCATTTTTTGTCCTGGTGGGTTCTCATCTGACATGAGACCCATAGGACAGTCACTAAGTTTAAACTAGTGATGAAGTTAAGAAAAAGCTTCTCCACCTCCCAGAACAGAAAATATTTGGTCATTTCAGAAATCATCGTTGACGTTTCTGTTAAAGAATGCAGTACATCAACTGAGACACCATTGTCAGCACAGGAGAAGAGGCTTCTTAAAACCCTGAACAGAGTTGTCTTGTTCTGTGTACACGCTGTGAGCCTTTACTTCAGGGCAAGTGTTGGTCTTTGAAGTTCAGGAGTCTAGATTCAGGCAGCAAAAATGGTACAGGCCTCAGAAGGTGATACTGGTTCTTCCACAACCCAGACGGGGCGGTTGCCATTCAAGCCACCGGGCAGATCAGCCTCCTTGGTGCAGCTGATAGCCCCTGGCTGGCCCGGTGCTCTGGCTAGTTAGCATGTACTCAGCCACTCTGATCCGTGTCCCCAGCGACCACAACACTCCTTGCTCTCGAATGTTCTCTGGGGACACACATTTGGCTCCAGGACCTCTGCCCTCTGCTCGGTGTTTTTTGGGGTCTAGCCTGTGGACCATTGCACCAGAGTCCCCTGGGGAGCTTATAGAGTAAATCCCCAGGCCTCCTGCAGACACACCTCTATGTCAACTTGCTTCGAGGACATGTTTCTCTCCACATGTTCATTTGTGATAACAGCCTATTTAAACCAACAAGCCTTTCTCTCCTGTAGAAGAAATGTCTGCTTGTCCCCTTCACCTCCTTCTTCCAAACAGCTGGGCCTTTGTCTGTGAGACAGCTGGATTTGGCCACGAGGGTGCCATGCTTTGGTGAGGGTACTGCATCCCCTGGGCACTCATCTTGCTGATTTCAGCCTGGACTGGGTCCTGGAGGTGCTCCGGGTGCTGGCCATAGTGGGAGCCCGACAGAGCCTCACAGAGCACATGCCCAGGCAGGGTGTTGGTGGGACTCAGCAGGCATGTAACCGGGGGGAAGCTTTGTTTGGGGTTACATGAAGTATCAGGTGTACATAGAGGTATCCTTGTCTGGAAGAAGCCCAGACAAGGCATTAAAATTTCAACATGTGAGCCACAAGAGCGCAGGCTCTGCGCAGGCTTGGCCCCTGGCTGCTGAGCCTGGTGCCTGCTGGAACCGTGTCATCTGTCATGTGGGCATCTGTTGTCGCCAGAGCAGTCAATGACTCCTGGTTTATTCGGCACCAGGTGCCAGGCAGCAGTTACTGCCGGTCTGCCTTCTTTGTAAAACAGTCTATTGCAAGTTTTCTTAGGCTCACTGGCATTTTCTTCGTTTGAGTCTTGGATTGTAAGCGGGTTCCTCTGAGGCCCAGAGCAGTGGGGGTGGCAGCTGTGAGCAGCCGGGGTATTCCT